GAAAAGTACGGTCATGCTCAAATGCAGAATAAATTCATAAAAGTTTGAGAGTAATAAGATGTTAGTAAACAAAACATAGTTGATATCATGCAAAGAAAATTGTGAAACGCTCTTGATCTAAACCAGCAAATATGGCAAGTCCGACTGCAACCCAAAACATAGCTTATACCTTATTTCAAGTCTAAAATGGATATTTAAATCATATTATCTAACAAATTTTTTGCGTAGTTTAGGAAAGAAAGGAATTCACAAGAAGATGGCTAGACGATTTATCATTAGTAGATCGCTAACCTCCTCGACAATTATGGAATAGTATTATGCCAAGAGATGGCAAAATAAAATTATGAAGAGTCTAAAATATAAAGAAAGAAGGGATTGCACCTTTTCATCCGATGCCAGATTTCTAGCGACGGCCTTTTCCATGATGCTTTTGTAATATTGGGTAAATGGGGTATTTCTATTGTGCTTCTCAAGCTGCATTTTAACCATTTTACCATGCTAAGTTACATTAAGCAAATTAGAATAGTATTTTGTCTCTTGTCAGGGGAAACAACAACAAACCTGAAGAAATGTTTCTACGGATTGCTGATCTTTTGGTGAAAAGGCCACTTCATCTCTTTTTTTCTGCACGAACCCAACATTTTGCTCCACCTGTAGACAAGAAGTTAAGCTATAATGGAATCTGTTGCACAACCAGTACAAGGTACATCATGTGAGGAATCATCAAACATAAATAAGTATCTATTACGCCATTATCCATGAAGGCAGAGCAAACAGTCACTAATGATGTTCGCGTATTCAAAAGCTAATGAAGAACAATATGGATACTGTAGAATATGATAGATCTTTTATCTCCTATTATTAGGGATAACTATTTGGAATATGATAAATCTTTTATCTCCTATTTATTAGGAATAACTATTAGGAGTATTATTATCTTTTAATAAAAGATTTGAATTAATTTTCAAATCTTATAGTTTATCTTTATCTGTTAGGAGGATTAGTTGGTTTCCTATTTTTGTGGCATGTTGGTAGCTTAGGGATTCCTTACTCTATCTACGTTCGTGTCCTCTTTGATGTGTTGAATAAGAATAATAAAAATTGATGATTCTCTCCAAAACTGATTCAATATCAGAGACACGGCTCAAAACCTAAACCTCCTTATGAATTACAAAACGATGATGACAGGAAGTAATACCTCCTCCCCCGGTGGAGACTCATCCTCTACCACCGAAGGGACCCAATCGGAATCCACAGTATCAACCAGCAAAGTAGAGCACCTCTTATCAAACCTTTCCCTTCAATTGACTGTCCATAAACTGAATGGCAGTAATTACTTGGAGTGGGCTCAGTCCATTAAGCTGGCCATTGACATTAGAGGTAAACTTGGCTATTTAACTGGCGAAGTGAAGCAACCAGCAGCAGGGGATCCGAACCTGAAAGCATTGAGGTCAGATAACTCCTTGACGATTGCGTGGCTCATCAACTCCATGGAACTAGCCATTGGAAAGCCGCATTTATTTCTGCCCACAGCCAAAGAAGTCTGGGAAGCAGTTCGTGATATGTATTCAAACGTGAAAAATTCATCCCAAATTTTCGAATTGAAAACGAAACTTTGGAAGTCCAAACAAGGAGACCGTGACGTTACGTCTTATTACAATGAGATTGTACCACTTTGGCAGGAATTGGATCTTTGCTATGAAGATGAATGAGATTGTCCAACTGATAGTGTTCGCCATAAGAAAAGAGAGGAGAATTAGATGAAGTACGAGGCCAGATTCTAGGAAGGAAACCACTGCCTTCCATCAGGGAAGTTTTCTCTGCAGTAAGGAGAGAGGAGACCAGGCGCAAAGTGATGCTAAAGACTTTCGAACCTAAAGACAGCCCTGAGGTTGAAAGTTCGGCTTTGGCGTCAAAAGGGAGTGATTCAAATGGAGAAAAGAGGAAGAAACCCCGGTGTGACCACTGCAAAAGAGGAGAAACGACGGAGAAAGTAGAGCCTTACAAACTGTGAATGAAGACTTTCAAGAGTAGCAAATCACCTTAAAGGCATCTCCCTTCACCAAGGAACAACTGAACCACCTGTACAAGCTTTTTCAATCTCCACAGTTCTTAGTATACTCTTCCTGCACCTTGGCCGAAAAGGGTAACTACCTTACTACAGCCTTTTCTTGTGAAAAATTTAATCCATCTCGTTCATGGATTATTGACTCAGGTGTAGCCGATCATATGACCGGTTCTTCAAAATTATTTTCATCTTATAACCCTTGTGCAGGCAATAAGAAAATTAAAATTGCAAATGGGTCATTGTCAGTAATAGCTAGAATAGGGTCAATTGTTATCTCTCCTTCTCTTACTCTCCACAATGTTCTTCATGTCCCTAATCTTTCATGTAACTTATTGTCCATCAACAAAATAACCAGTGACTTTAAGTGCCAAGTTAACTTCTTTCAATCTTATTGTGAGTTTCAAGAACTAACCATGGGGAGGATGATTGGCAGTGCTAAAGAGATTGAAGGACTTTATTTCTTTGAAGATGGATAGAGTTCAAGAAGGCTAGTACAAAGTACATGTTATGGGATTGTTTCTATTACTAGTGATAAAGAAATAATGTTATGGCACTATAGACTAGGCCATCCGAATTTTTAATATTTAAAAAGTTTGTTTCCAGATTTGTTTAGAAATAAAAATCCATTTTTATTTCAATGTGAGTTATGTGAATTGGCTAAGCATCACCGTTCTACTTTTCCCTTACAACCCTACCAACCCTCGAAACCTTTTATGTTTATCCATAGTGATGTTTGGGGACCTTCTAGGATTTTAACACCCTCGGAAAAAAAATAGTTTGTCACGTTCATAGATGATCACACTAGGGTAAGCTGGGTATACTTGTTGAAAGAGAAGTCTGAAGTTAAAAATGTTTTTAAAAAAATTTACACCATGGTTTTAACTCAATTTCAAACAAAAATTCAAATTTTACGAACGGATAATTAGAAAGAATATTTCAATAAGATCTTTGGATCTTTTTTCTTAGAAAAAGGTATTGTTCATCAGAGTTCTTGTAATGATACTCTTCAACAGAATGGTGTGGCTGAACAAAAAAATCAACATCTTTTAGAAGTTGCAAGGGCCTTACTATTTAAAAATAACGTCCCTAAGTATCTTTGGGGGAAGCCATTTTGACAACCACTTAACTAATAAATCAGATGCCTTCTAGGGTTCTAAGGTTTCAAACACCCTAAAATGTTTTCGAAACTAATTACCCTACATCTAGGCTTACCTCTACACTTCCTTTATAAATGTTATGATCCTATTTCAAAAAAGATGTTTATAACCATGGATGTAACCTTTTTTGAAAATAAATCTTTTTTTGAATACCATCTTCAGAGGGGGAGAAAAAGGGCAGATGTGGATGATGATGCTTTTGATGTTTTTCAAATAAACTTGGATTCAAACTTGGATTTAGAAACTACTATTACGAAATCTGGATGAAAAAAATACCTTGAAAAACCAGACTTTAGAATTCGAATTTGTACCAAAAATTCCTAACCAAGACCAGACCATAAAGGAAACAAATGCTGAAAATTTTAGAAGCTCGGACCAGACATCTCTAGTGCCACCACCTAAATTAGATCTCACTGGAGAAAGGAATGGGGCCAATCAATTCTTACACTTTATGCACATGCACTATATATCTCTAGGGCCCTCCCAGTACTGCCGCCGGCTTTTTCACAATCTGACCACATGCCAATTTCTCAAATCACAAAATCAAGTTCCCCGTCATCACCCACCTGGCTCGAGTGAATGGCCTGGGCATTCAAAATCACAATTTCTCAATATCACAATATAGTCTCGATCATCACCCACTTAGCTCGAGAGACTTGCGCAGCTCAATCATAATATTACAATAGGAGTCCATTGAGGACTTGGCAGTACCGGCCTATCATGCATGCTATTATGTGCTCAATCACAAACAATTTAATAATCAACGTGCTGCTCTACTTTGTGTACAATATATTAGCACAAGCATGCCTTCACAAAACATACACATTGACAATGTCGCAAAAATTCACATAATAGCATACTAGACATTCCATAGAAAGTCTATCAAACAAAGTTTACAAGTGCTGTAGAGAAGTCATACTCTACTTACGTGAATTGCATAGCAAAATCTGAGTTTAATTCTATGCGCTTCCCTTATTCATTTTCCTTTCTACTGTCCAAAATAAACAAATTGGCCATCGTTATTAAAGCTCAATAGCTCAACCATAAATCAATTTCTAATTCATAATCATATTCCCCTGAAAACTGGAAATTGGCAAGACTCGTCCATCCTGACGGGAAAATTCATAAAATATTTTGTCTTCAAAAATCAACTCCAAAATAAAGTAGACATGTATATCTTTCCAACGAGCTATCATATGTCTAAATCCGACCTCTATAAGTACCTCAAAAACAGTTCTCAAGAGATCAAAATTCTTTTTTTTCTATTTTTGACAGCTTTTAGAAAATTTCTATATGAAACTTCCTATGCACACAACTCGGGCTTTAAAACTCAAATGAGGTGATTCCAACTCTCACACGTCACTAATAACGTGTTCTAAATGGTGGCAAATGTGGTTTAAGTGCAGCACTTCTGTTTCAAAAAGTAGGAACCTCAGTTATTTGTTTGATTAATTTTAGAAAATGGCAGTTTTGACGACTGCTACGAGAATATGCACAAAATATTCTATGTAGCCTCAAAAATTACAAAATCAGTGCCTAATCGAAGTAGACATCTAGGGCTTTCTAAAAAACTATCATAAGCTTGACTTCAGGTTCATTAGGGCCTCCAAAAACATGTCACACCAGATCAAAACGTGCTGGCTTTTCTGCAGAATTTACATAATCATGCCTAATTTTAAAAATGCATAACTTGAGCTACAGTTGTCCGTTTAAGGTGATTTTTGCAGCTATGCGCAGCTTAGGATGTCCGTTTTATGGATCTACAAACATTAAGACCAGAATTCACGTGAAAAATAACATTTTTCAATTTTTCTTTGACAACCATTTACGTGATCCCCTAACCTTACGATTTTACACATAACCTCAACATGTAAAATTTCTCATTTCTGTCCAGCCCAAACTCATATTTTTACACATCAATATTGTGATGATTTCCGGTCCTAAGACCATACAATTAGCACCAAGATTCATCCTTACTCACTAAACCTAGAAAATTCTACAAACATAACCAAAATCCACATAACACAAAAATCTCTCAAAGAAAATTCGAACTAACATGTCTCTAAGCAAACTTTAACTTAACTTTAGGAAGGGAAAAACTCAAGGTTTACGATTCCAGCAAAATAATCAACATTTATCATAAAACCCAAGCAATCAAGCCACAAAACAACCACTTTTCGGATTTAAAGGAACAAGGGAGAAAGCTCATACCTTGAACCCTAGCTCCAATCAATCCTTTGATTCAATAAGTTGCTGCAAACCTTTGTGGAAGAAGAAGAATGAATCAAAGAAAAGAGAAAAAAAAAAACGCAGAGAGAGAGGAAGAGAGACGTGAAAGGGAGTTGAGAGAGAGAATGAGATAGAGAAGTGAAATTTTTTTTCTTCCTATAATGCTCCATCCTCTCAACGTGACTAAAGAAGAAAAATTAGTGGCTTGACTGAAGTTCTAGCCATGCCACGTGAAAGGACAACTGGCCCTTTTTTTTTAATATTGTAATATGGCCCCTAAATATGAAAATTGTTACAATCTTGCCCCCCAAAGCCTTGCAATTTAATCATTGAACTCTTTTATCGTTTCTCTTACAATTCATTCATACAAAATTAATACAAAAGTTTCTGGCATTTTCGGGCTTAAAAGAAGGAATTGCAGAACAAGACCATTCCACTTGTGAAGGTCCTTTGGAGGAATCATGCAGTTGAACAAGCGACTTGGAAGTTAGAAGAGGATATGAGAAAGAACTTCCCAATTTTGTTTTAAGTTTCGAGGACGGAACTTTTGTATGTTATAGGGAATTGTAACGTCCCAATTTTCGGGCTTAAACTTTTGTATTAATTTTGTATGAAGAAATTGTAAGAAAAACGATAAAAGAGCTCAATGATTAAATTTCAAGACTTTAGGGGGCAAGATTGTAAGAATTTTCATATTTAGGGGGCATATTGCAATATTAGA